GCTGCTGTTGAAGGGGCGCTGAGCGCAGCCCGCACGGCTGGGCAGCTCATTGACATGAGCCAGCACAAGGGTGAGCTTGGGGGTGGCGCAGGAGCCGGCCTGGTGCAGTGCCGGCTGCAGTGCATGGTTAGTTCCGGGTGCACCTTGCATGGGCGGAGCTAAAATCAGCTGCTGGCAGCCAAGCACAGCAGGTTACTGCACCTATAGCAAGCAGCGCTGGTGGGATGGATGGTGGTGGGACCGTGCAAATCTCTTGCTCATCCTCCCAATCCAGGGAGGCTGGAGTAGACATTACTGCCACAAACACAACTTTCCTCGCAGCAGCAATGCTCAGTCTGCACAAAAGGCTGTGAAAGGGCTGTCCTTCCTCTTTGTCCGTTTGCTCTTCCCAGCTCCCGTCCTTATATCTTCCCTGTCCTCAGGTGAACATCCTCGCATGGGGGCCCTGGACGTCTGCCCCTTCGTGCCAGTGATGAACATCAGCATGGAGGAGTGTGTCACCTGCGCCCACATCTTCGGACAGCGCTTGGCAGCAGAGCTGGGTGTTCCTGGTGAGTGGGGGCCAGGAACCCCTGCCCGCCCCATACCACCCCACATGCTTCCAGCTGTGGAGAAACTGCACACCTTTTGCAAAAGTTTAACCAAGGAGAAAATGAAGTTTGCTCCCAAATGGGCAAAACCGGACCTCACTAGATGACATGCCACCAGCCCCTTCCTGGCAGTGCTCACCCTTGGCTCTGTCTTGCAGTTTACCTGTATGGAGAGGCGGCGCGGGAGGACAGCAGGAAAGCCCTGCCCACCATCCGCGCTGGGGAATATGAGGCACTGCCTGAGAAGGTGAGTCTGGCAGTACCCATCTGGGAAGCACGGACTGGTCAGGGCTGACCTGCACCTCCCCAGCTTTGGTGACAGTGCTGGGGGCTGGCATAGTCCCTTTGCACCAAGAAGAGCTGATGAAATTCTTTGGGTGTTGCTGAACATGGATGTGAACATGACAGATGCCGGCTGGGGAGGGAGATGCTGTCCCTGGGAGGATGGCTCATGCTGCTCGGTGGTGCCAGCCCACACACTCTCCTCTCTCCTCCCTAGCTTGCAAAACCAGAGTGGGCTCCTGATTTTGGGCCCCCAACCTTTGTACCCCGGTGGGGGGCAACGGTGACGGGTGCCCGGACTTTCCTTATTGCGTACAACATCAACCTGCTGTGCACCAAGGAGCAGGCTCACCGCATTGCCCTCAACATCCGTGAGCAGGGTCGCGGCGCTGATCAGGTACTCACATGCCAGTGGCATGCTGGGGACAGACATGCTTGCCCTCATGCCTCCTGGGCCATGCCTTGACTGAGGCAGTTCTTGACAGCCCGGGCGCTTGAAGAGGGTGCAGGGCATCGGCTGGTATTTGGAGGAAGAGAATATAGCTCAGGTTTCAACAAACCTGCTGGACTTTGAGACCACACCGCTCCATGTTGTCTACGAGGAGGTCTGCCAAGATGCGAAGGTGGGTGGTGCAGGGTGGCACGGCATGCTTGTTTCAATGGGTGCTTCACCCAAGTTGTTTCTCCCTCCAAGTTGTTTTTCTACCCATCCCCATGTCAGGCTCTGCTTTATCTCACGGTCAGCTCAGCCAAGCTGGGCAAGGTGCTGAACGGCATGAAAACCCTAAAAACTCAGCAACTTGCTGCTAGCTCCCAGCTCCTCCACTGAAGGCTTTTCCATGAGCTCCCCAGGTCCTGGGAAGGGATGAGACACTAGGTTGGGGTGGAAGCAGTGGCAGAACAGGTGGCTCTGGGGACAGTCTTGTTTCTGTTGTCCTTTGCAGGCACTGAACCTCCCCGTGGTGGGGTCCCAGCTGGTGGGACTTGTCCCCAAGAAGGCCATGCTGGACACGGCTGAGTTTTACATCAAGAAGGAAAAACTCTTCATCCTGGAGGAGGAAGAGAAGATCAGGCTGGTAATGTGGCTCCTCCTAATACCAAGAAAAGGGTGGGATCATGAGAGAGACACACCCTCCCACTCTCCCAGCCTCCCAAAGTGGCACTGAGCAGAGATATGGGACCACAGCAGCCTGTGGCATGACACTTGTCTCTAAGAATGGTGCCTGGCAAGCTGTGAGGCCACAACAAATGGGACAAGTTGCTTTATTTTCCTGAGGATGCTGAGATGCCCAGGGAGCAGAAAGCCCATCCTGTGAGGACAGAGTGAGGACAGCAACTGCCCAGCTTGCCTGCATGGAGGCCAGGAGGGGAAAAGGACCTTCCCAGAGCTCAAGGACAGTGTGTGGTGTTATGGGAAAATGCACCAGGACCGATATAAGCTGGAAATGAGGAGACAGGCTCTGCTTTTCAGCTGCAAGAGGGAGGGACACGTCCACCCTATGGGGAACATGCTAGATAAGAGCAAGCTAATTATTTATCAACGCAGTGTCCAGTCATTTGCAGGCAGCTGCACTCTGACCCCAAGTCTGGGATAGGACAGGCTGGTGGCGCCAGCTGTTCTCTCCCTGGGTGGTGGCCTGAGCAACTCTGTCCTAGGGCTGGGTCACATATGGTTAATTAACAGCAGGGAATGAGGATGCAATGGGACTTATCATGACGGGGCTGACATGGCAGTGCTGCTTCTTGCAGGTGGTCAGCCGTCTGGGCCTGGACTCCCTGTCTCCGTTTCACCCCCAGGAGCGCATCATCGAGTAGGGACCTCCATCCTGCTTCTCATCATGATGCCCATCCCTGCCTGGATCCCACTGCCTGCCTCTTGCTCTCAGCTTGTTTTGAGAGTAGTGCCTGCACCCAGATCCTCCTCACAACCAATCCCTGCTGGGTGTTGTGCAGGCGCAGGGTGGTCCCTGCTCCCAAATGCTAATGGTTGTGAATACAGGGTGGGGGGAATGTGGCTGACTCGGGCAGGCAGCAGGAGCAGGTTCCATGGCCACTCTTGATCATGTGCATGTTAAATCCTCCACCCCATCCCCAGCCCAAATTTCACTGCCTCTGGCTCACACGCTGCCCTCCAAAGAGAGATGCCATGCTGCAGTGCCTGGTGTAAAATGCATGTCTGTGGGGATAGAGGAAGGGAAATGCATGTATGCTGAGATGATAGCAGGCTGTGCACTTCAAGTCCTTGTCATTGACCCCTGGGGACGTGGCTGCAGGCGTGTTTCTGTTCCACCAAACGCCGTTCACCCTGTTCACCCTGTCTAATGCAGAGCAACCCTCTACACCACCAGGACATCTGCTCTCCAGCTGTCCATCTGTCCTCATGGGGCTCTGCATCCGCTCCCCAACCCTCCTGCTGGGTTTTTTGGCCTAGACCCCTTCTCAGCCACCCACAGAGCCAAGGGGTGGATGAAAACTTGTTAGAAAAAGGGCAGCGTCAGGTGAGAAGGGACTGGGTGGTGAGTGTTTCTGCACCTGGGGGGCTCTGACCCACAGGGCCACTGTGCTGCAGGTACCTGGTGCAGGCAGGAGAGGTGGATGGGGGGCTGGTGGCCAAGCCACTGGTTGCCTTCGTGCGAGCAGTTGGTGGGAGGTCAGCAGCGCCAGGAGGAGGCTCTGTGTCTGCAGCTGCAGCTGCCCTGGTACGTGCCCCACACTGGGATGGGGTCCCTGCCTCCCTGGGGGGTCCTCTGGGTGTGCTGAGCCCCCAAGGGGAGCCTACATGGCAGTAGTGGTGGGTGCTGTGTCCTGCTGGAGGACTTACCCCTGTGCCTTTTCAGGGAGCCGCACTGGGCTGCATGGTCGGGCTGATGAGCTATGGGAAGAAACAGTTTGAGGAGCTGGACCCCATCATGAGGAAGCTGATCCCCCCCTTCCACCAGGGCATGGATGAGCTGGTGGCACTGGTGGATGCTGACTCCCGCGCCTTCAGCAGCTACATGGTGAGGTCCCACTGGTGGCAGACATCCCACGGGGAAGTGGGGAGCTTTCCAGCTGGGAGGGGAGCTGGCATCACATGGCCCCGGTGTCCTTAAGAGCAGGGCTGTGACCGTGGCCCAAGCCCGGGCCAGAGAAGGGGACATCATCACCTAAAGGATGTGTACAAGACGATGGGAGCTATTGGGTCTGCCTGGGCCCCTGATGCAACACATGTGAGGTCTTGGAGCAAATGGTAGCATATCTACTTTTCTTTGCCTGCAGGAAGCTATGAAGCTGCCACAAAGCACCCCTGAAGAGCGGGAGAGGTGAGCTGGCCTGGTGGGGACTTGCAGACTGGGTGAGCATGGCCACCCAGCACTCACCCTGGGGCTGTCCTCCCTCCCAGACGCACGTCTGCCATGCAGCAGGGGCTGAAGACAGCCGTGAGGGTGCCCTGTGCCCTGGCAGAGAAGGTGAGCAGGCTCTGGCCTGCTCTGAAGGATCTGGCACGCCACTGCAACCTGGCCTGCAAATCTGACATCCAGGTATGGCCCTGGGCTGGGGCACTGGAGGCTGACAGGCTCACCGCTTTTCCCTGCGAGATGTCCCATCACGTCCTGACCTCCATCTTGCATCTTTCTAGCCGTGCTTCCCAAGCTGGCCAGTGGTTTCCACCTGCTAACTTTTTGGCAGCTTGCAACCCTTGTAGGAGAGTTGACTTCCGACAGCTCTTGCCTGAGTTTTCCCACCTGTGTGGCAAGGCCATGAATGGTTCCAACTGCTGGAGCCACATCCTGAAGGGATGTGTTGGAAAGTGTTGCGTGTCGCTGGGTCATGGAGGGTGGGAGTCCTGCAGCGTAAGGGTCTGCCTTGCTGCAGGACCATATGTGAGTACTCTGGTTCCGCAGGAGAGCTTCTTGGAAGCCTTTTTTCC